AAAACAAAAGAGCAAAAGAGAGTGGAAATGAAAGAAAAGAATTACAGAGTGGAAAAGAGATAGTGAAAGCCAGGATGAAACACGCAGCCGTTGCAAAAACAATTTAGAAGCGTTTAACTGTTCAGGTGCGTTGCATCCCCAATGTGCGATTCCCTATCTGTTAAATGTCTCAAAACTGACAAGGTTGTTGTGTGTGTTGTAAGCCAGGTTCTGTTCAGGTGGTTGGTTTTGTCGGTAATCTGACTTCTCACCCCTATTTTACAAGATCCAAAGGAAAGGTTCCAATGGCTTTAGAAATCAATCTCCGCATTATTAATCCTGAGGATAGCCCTGAATTGGCTATTTCACAACCTGAATTGGCAACTGTCGAAGAAAATAAGATGATGCGTCTCCGCATGCTGGAAATGTGGGACGCCTGGTCTAATGGTAGGGAAACGCCAAGTAAAATTTCTGGATTCCCCGAGCTGATCCCAAGGACGCGTGGAACCACCAACATCCCTATGACCAACCCATTTATCCCGTATGGGTACCTTACAATATCATCCAACTTTACCGGTATGCCTTCTATGGTTCGCCCCCATGCACCGTTTTCCGGGGAACCTTCAACGTTGTTCTCCGCACTACTAGTTTTCACCATGGCACAACCAACTATGCCCAAGCCATGCTTTGAACCCCCAAAATTCACCTTCTAAGGTCCGAAATTTCAACCTGATATGACTCATGTCACTCCGAACTCGTATGCTCTACAACCATAGTATGAGTCTCCGATTGAGTAAGAAAGAAAGTTAGAAATCCCAAGCAGGAAGAAATGGATCAGAAGATGAAAATCTTGGAACAGAGCTTGAAAAACATGCAAGGTTTGAGTGGCCAAAAAAGTGTTTCATATTCGGACATAAGAGCCTCCCAGAAGAAATGATTTCACCCCCATTGGTGAATCCTATTCCAGTCTGCCTCAGAAGTTAATAAAACTGGGTCTATTGAAATAAACATTGGGGCAGCACCTGCCAAGAACGTGGTTCTTTATGTTCCTAAGGCCCCGAGAAAAGAACAGCTTATCCCCAACACTCCCAAGAAGTTCGATGAAAGGAAAGCTACATTGAATGTGCCAAGATTATATGTACCATAGAGGACATTTGTGGCGCGGGGGCAGGTAATTTCACCAAGGCTGACTGAGCCCGTGGTTATCATACCCACACCACAGAGTCTTATGAAAGATCCTACCACAGTCCCCTGGAACTACAACAGAACCGTGGTTACATACAAAGGGAAATAAATTATGGGGAAAGTGAATGGGATGAATAAGTTTGAGAGGTACCATACCCTAGAAGATCTAAAGAAGTCCAAACAGAACAGGGATAAACAGATGCCATCCAAGAAGCCTGTAAGCAACGAGGAAGCGGAAGAGTTCTTTAGAAAGATGAAAACTTCAGAGTACTTAATAGTTGACCAACTCCGTAAGACTCCTTCCCAGGTCTCACTCTTATATTTGTTGCTGAGTTCGGATGAACATCAAAAATTTCTCCTCAAAACATTAAATGAAGCGTATGTCCCGGTTGATACTTCTGTCGAACAATTGGCCAAAAGACTTTTTGAGGTCAATAATATTTCCTTCAGCCACGATGATTTGCTCACAGAAGGAGCTTCCCACAACAAAGCCCTCCACCTGACTGTCAAATGTGAGGGCTATTATGTGAAAAAAGTGATGTTAGATGGTGGGTCTGGGGTAGACATTTGCCCTCTCTCAACACTCCAGAGAATGGAGATTGGAACAGAAAGAATTCGGGCTAACAACATTTGCGTACGAGCTTTTGATGGGGTCAAGAGAGAGACAATAGGAGAAATTGATCTAATTCTAACTATTGGATCTGTAGACTTTGAGGTGACCTTCCAAGTTTTGGACATGGAAACCTCGTACAATTTCCTCCTTGGTAGACCATGGATTCATGCTGTCGGAGTTGTTCCCTCCACTCTTCAACAAATGGTCAAGTTTGAATATGATAATCAAGAGATTGTTGTCCATGGAGAAGATGAGCAATCCATCTACCGGGACCCCTCGGTCCCGTGTCTTGAAGCTAGGGAAGGTAGTGAGCACATTGTGTATCAAGCTTTTGAAATTGTGGTCGCTGAACAATTTGAAGAAAGGGCCTAATTGCCTCAACCTTGCTTGTCTAATGTTTCGATCATGGTCGCCACCCAAATAATTAAAAATGGGTACAAGCCCGGAAAAGGGGCTCAGAGTATCTATATAGGGCATTACTGAGCTAATTTACCCAATCGTCAATGAGAAGTGTTTTTGCTTGGGCTTCCGAGCTACAGAGGCCGACAAAACATGGGCTGACAAATGCAAAGAAAACGGGTGGGTCCTATACCAGCCCATTCCATATCTCGCCCCATCATTTGTCAAACCAAAGTATGTGGAGGAAGAAGAAGAGGCCTTCACGGCTGAAGAAATCGACGATATCTGCGAAGCATTAAAACAAATGCTATATGAGTCCCACATGGTCCAGGCAGGGGAAGACACGAGCCATGCCGAGGGGCAATATATGGGGCCGAATTTCTTTCTCGAAAACTGGGAGGCTACCCCATTCCCTGTCAGGCGGGAGTCCTGGTAGTTCAGTCTTGCCATCTCTTCTGCATTACGAGTTATTTTAGGGTGTAACTCGAATGTTTTACTTTATTGTCTTTTAATTCTGATGTAAACCCTCATATCTTTCAATTCAATGAAATGAAATCAATATTTCATCGTCCATAGATGTCTCTTTTCTTTTGTTCTGATTTTGCTATTTTTATTATCTTTTTTTTTTCAGTTCTAATAATGCGGACTTAAATAACATGACATGCTTGCAGACTTCATGCCTAGATCCTAAAATGCTGTCTAACTTTGAAATAATGAATCAAGAGACAAAATATGATGAAGATGAGATTTTTAGGGAAATAAATTGAGAATTGGAACAATTTGAGAATAAGCCTAAGCCAAACTTAAATGAAACCACGTCGGTTAATTTGGGCAGTTTAGAAGAGATCTAAGAAACCATGATAAGCATTCATGCTGATGAAAGAACTAGAGATGCCTTGATCCAACTTTTATTTGAATTCAAAGATGTGTTTGCATGGTTTTATGATGATATGCCAGGGCTGAGCGTTGATTTGGTGGTACATAAATTGCCTACCTATCCTAGTTATCCACCCATTCTACAGAAGCAAAGAAAGTTTAAAACTGACATCAGTGATAAGATCAAGGAAGAAGTCATCAAACAACTGAAAGCTGGTGTGATCTGAGTGGTCCGATACACCACATGGCTGGCTAATGTGGTACCGGTGCCAAAGAAAGATGAAAAAACCCGAGTGTGTGTTGATTTTCGGGATTTGAACAAGGTGAGTCCCAAGGACAACTTTCCATTGCCAAATATCCACATTCTTGTTGACAACTGTGCTAAAAATGAGATACAGTCTTTCGTGGATTGTTATGCTAGGTATCATCAGGTTCTGATGGATGAAGAAGATGCATAAAAGACCGCTTTCACCTCACCTTGGGGCACTTATTGTTACAGGGTCATGCCATTTGGTATGAAAAATGCCGGGGCAACCTATATGAGAGCTATGACTGCCATCTTCCATGACATGATACATGGGGAGACTGAGGTATATATGGATGATGTTATCATTAGATCCAGAAAGCAAGAAGACCATGTGCGAGATATGAGGAAGGTCTTTGAGCGTCTGCGCAGGTATAAATTGAAATTGAACCCAGCTAAATGTGCATTCGGAGTTCCGTCTGGGAAGCTCCTGGGGTTTATAGTCAATCGGAGGGGTATCGAATTAGATCCAACAAAGATATAGTCTATTCGGGACTTGCCACCCCCGAAGAGCAAGAAAGAAGTCATGAGTCTGCTAGGGAGGTTGAATTACATCAGCAGATTCATCGCTCATCTTACTACCACTTGTGAGCTCATATTCAAGCTGGTAAAGAAAGATACGACAATCAAATGGAAATATGAGTTCCAAGAAGCTTTCGATAAAATCAAAGAGTATCTGTCAAATCTGCCGATATTGGTTCTACCCGAGCCAGGAAGACCTTTGTTCTTGTACCTGACAGTCCTGGAAAATTCTTTTGGCTGTGTCCTGGTGCAACACGATGTAACCGGGAAGAGAGAATAAGCCATATATTATTTGAGCAAAAAGTTCACCAGTTATGAAGCCAAGCACACTTTGCTAGAAAGAACTTGTTGCGCCCTAACTTGGGTCACCCAAAAGCTAAGACACTACTTGTTGGCTTACACAACATATCTCATAACCAGATGGATCTTTTGAAGTATATATTCCAAAAACCCATGCCCACTGGAAGGTTAGCGAAATGGCAGATCCTTCTCACTAGGAGTGGGCATTCGGTATTTCGGTTCGGTATTAGAAATTTCGGTTCGGTATTTCAGTATTTGGTTTATCAATTGTGTATATCAAATACCGTACCAAATTAATTCGGTACGGTTCGGTATTTATTATTTTGGTTCGGTACGATTTCAGTACGGTTTCGGTTTGATACATATTCATGTGTCACGTACTGCTAAGTGCTAAGAGCGTTAGCAAGCAGAAATAAAATTTTAGTGCATTCCTAATTAAGGAAAATCTTTCCTTTCATTTCTTATTGAAAGGAAATAGAATACAGAGGCATCAACATTCAGCACCACTAATAAGTAATATCTTTCCTTTGGAAATTAAAATGATAATGACTAAATTTAATACTAATATGAACCGAAAGATTCTGACTAAAAGGAAAATCTTTCCTAAATGAATCAAATCCATAGGCATCATCAGTCAGCACCACTAAAACCAAATATGGACTACAAAATCATACTGAACTCTGAGCAGCAGCTCAACCAGCAGCAGAATTATTAATTCAACTTTACACTTTACACAGATGCAACAAAAGCATAGATGCATCAATCAAAAATTACTAATGAGTAGCAGCAGCATTAAGCACAATACAACAAAAACAGGGAGAATTCAAGTTTACACCAATAAGTAATAACAACTAAAGTGTCACGCTCACAGTAGCAATAATATTATGCAAAGTTTGCAAACCTACTGGTTACAGCCATTCTGCCAAACATAAAGTTGTAAGTTTAACTAATAAGCAGTGCAGCAACAACATTAACATCAACATAAAATGATAAGAACACTGGCCCATAGCATAAGTCTAAGTGTCTAACACATTAAGCTTAAATAAGTTTAACAAATTCTCAAAAATCAAAATAACATAAATAATCTCGACTCTCGAATCAGCTTTAGGAGCACAGGGCATTATTGAACTTGAACCTAAAAAAAGAAGATAAAATCATAAGTTAGAATATTATTTTTTGATGATAAAAGAAAAAAAATACAAAAGTATATCACCAAACAAATAGAATATTAAACTCACCACTGCAACTATACGCCAAAGTGATCTAACACTGGTAGTAGTGCTTCCATTATCTTCCATATCTAAAGATAATTCGACCAAATATATATGTCATACAAATAGATAAGTGTAAATAAATAACTGGGTTTAGTATCACAATGCCTAAGGAAAATAGACCCAGTGAAAACTATAATAGCTACTATAAAATAGTTCCTTAAATCTGTTTGTGTACACCCAAACTACTAAAAAGCTTAATAACAAGTTGCAGATAGAAAATAAGTTAGTTCTTTCCCTCTTAATTTCGCCCAGGCCAAGTGGTAAAATGTATTTTGTAAATGGCGTCCAACTACCCATAAGTCTCCACGACTTAACTATAAACTAGACACCAAAATGTTACTTCTGTACTTACTATATTATCCTTGAGTCAATTGTTTAACGTACTAACTTAATGAAGATTGAAGAAGTTGTGAACCTGTTGAAGAGTTGAAGATTGAAGGTTAAAAATGAGGAAACAAGCAGTCACACTTGAGAGTCGTCGGCGCCGAGGTCGTTAAGTCGCCGTGACTCCATCTCTATCGCAATCGCAACACTCGCAGCCACAAGCTCACAGCCGATCTGTTCTTCACTTATTGAGAAACCTAATTCTAATTCCAATCCTTAGAAATAAGGGGAAAAGAATAAGAGAGTAATAGACTTGGGCTTAGTCTTGAGTTATTGGGCTAGAAATAAACTTAAAATTTTGAGTTGGGCTAGGGCAGTGTAGGACAAGGAATTAGGAATTAGGAAGCACATGGAATACTTTATAAATTTGGTATTTTGGTATACAGAAATATCAAAATCTTAATACCGAGGACCGTACCGTTATACCAAAAATATAATACCGAAATACCGAAAAAATCAAAACCGAAATACCGAATTAATTCGGTCCGGTTTGGAATTTGGTTTTTCGGATTTTATGCCCACCCCTGCTTCTCCTGAGTTTGACATTGTCTATGTCACTCGCATAGCGATGAAAGATCAAGCCTTGGCGGATCATCTAGCTAAGAACCCGGTCGATAATGAATACCAGCCATTAAGCACTTATTTTTCAGACGAGGAAACAAACTCAGTTGAAGTAATTCTAGAGAACATCAATGCCCGGAAAATGTTCTTTGATGGGGCTGTAAATGCAAAAGGCATGGGGATTGAGGCAATTCTGATTTTGCCCACCGGTCAACACTATCCGGTTGCATCCCGTCTTCGGTTCTTCTGTACAAACAATACCGTCGAGTATGAAGTCTGCATCATGGGCATAAATATTGTAACACCCTAAATGTTTACTAATATTTGCATTTTTTATTGAACATCTTTATAATGAGGAGATATTTTTTACTTTGCACTTCCTAAACGTGAAATTGACAATACATAAAAATTCCTTACTCTAGGTTGTGTTAATATTGACAAAGAAGTTCTATGGTGTTGCTATGTGTAACACTTAATATTATTTTGATGAATTGTTGTTAAATAAATTATAATTAAGTTTTTGGGATGCTACCCTTTTATATTTATCTAAGGATATTTAGTAGTTGGGCAGCCATTTTTATTTCATATTTATCCAAAATTCTTAAAGACAACTTTGATTGACTTAGTCTTCCATAAACTCCACATTTGCATTCTTTCAAGAAAAAGAAAACCCCTACACTCTCTCCTTCTTATCACCTGAAAACTTCATGAAAAGCACCATAAATTTCCACTAAAACAATCAGCAAAATTCGTTCTTGGTAAAGCTCAAGTTGCTCCTCTCTTTTGTGGTAAGTTACTAAACTCGTTTTTACACTAGACAGCTATTAGTGTTTTCTTTATATCTTTTTGTATAGAGCTCCGTGTTAAGTGATCTAAGACTTTCTTGAAATCTATTTTATAGATCTATAACTCTTATAAAGGAATCAAAACCTGGTTTGTCTTTTATTTACCTGAAAATAGGCGATGAAGTACAGGGTAGGTGCTGCCCAGATTTTCTGTTTTACAAACCCTCCCTGTACTACTGTTAGTAAGTTTAGCATAACGTTTTGTACAAAATTGACATGGGGGTGATTCAAGATGTTCTGAAATGCTAAAACACATATCTACAACTGTAAAGAAGACCATACAGTCTAATATTCCTTTTTCATCTTCAAATCTTAATCACAACACGAGACAGTGATACTGTCCAGAATTTCTGTTTCAAACATTTTGGGTAATTTTCACCAATATCATGTTTCGTTTGACATGTTAAATCATTGAAATTATATAGATATTTTATTATGTATTTATGGTATATATATCCTTGTAAAAGCTAAGGGGAAGTATTTGAGGAAGTGGACGGATTTGGTTTGTCTAGGGCATAGACGATTCGAACGTCCTCAAGTTGTGGTTGAACTATTTTGTGGTAAAACACCAAGGTTTGTGCATAAACTTTGTATTATTTTTATTTGCTGGAATATTTTAAAATAACGTGATATTTTATTTTTCTTGTCTTCAATTAATAGCATTGCATTCATGTTATATCAAGTATTGCAAGATATTTGCTAAATCGCCCACTCGTACGGATTGTTTGATCATTTTGCATTCTTGTCGAGACTTTGTCCTTCTTGTGGCAGTGACTTTGTCACTCATCTTGGCATGCCTCTTGATTTGGATATTTTGCCATCTTGACTTTGGATTTGTAATTCCTCTTAAATTATAAAACTTGTCCGTGTTAAGTATGAACTAGGAAGCCATTTTTAATATAGTTCTTGATTCTCTTGACTATTGGGTTTTGACCCTACTTGATTTGGGGCTTCAGTCCATATTGATATCTGATTTTGCTTAGTGTAATGGCATGACGTATATATTGGGCGAAAAATGGATATTTGACAAGCGTTCTTGGATTGATAGTATACGCTTTCTCAACTCTTGAATCTTGAACATTGTTATTGATATTTGGAAACACTTCAAGGTTGATATTTGATACTTCTGATATATTTGTTCACTTATTTTAAATTATATTTCATTTGATCTACCTATGACTGAAAATAGAAATTGGAGAAGTTAATGGCTCCAAGCCCAAAGTTTATACGCCACTAAGCTTTATGCTTAGCGATNTTATCCCTTATAGGCAACACGTGGAGGATCTCAGCAAATGGTTTAAGTCCGTCGAGTTCATGTATATTCCTCGATTCCACAATGAGCTAGTTGATGCATTAGTTACTTTGGCCTTAATGCTGCCGTACACGGGTAATGTTCATATTGACCCGTTAGAGATTCAGGTTCAAGAAAGGTATGGTTATTGTAACGCAATTAAAATGGAGCCAGATGGTGAACTATGGTTTCATGATATCAAGAGGTTTTTGAAAATAAAAGAATATCCCGAGCAAGCTAGTGAAGATCAAAAGTGAACTATCAGAAGGCTTGCAAGTAGTTTCTTTTTGAGTTGATAGATCCTATATAAAAGAACTCCAGATTTGAACCTTTTAAGGTGCGTAGATTCCCGAGAAGCTGAAAAGATCATGAACGAAGTGCATTCAGGAGTATGTGGGCCTCACATGAACGGGTGTGTCCTTGAAAAGAAAATACTCTGGGCAGGTTATTATTGGATGACTATGGAAAATGATTACTTCAGTTTTGTCCGGAAATGCCATCAGTGCCAGATACACGGTGACCTGATTCATGCACCACCTTCATAGCTACATTCTATGTCAGCGCCTTGGCCGTTCGTTGCTTGGGGCATGGATGTTATTGGGCCAATCGAGCTGAAAACTTTAAATGGGCACTTATTCATCTTGGTTGCCATTGATTATTTCACAAAGTGGGTCAAAGCAGTCATTTTCAAATCTGTCACCAAGAAGGCAGTGGTGGACTTCGTGCATGCCAATATTATTAGTCGTTTTGGTATTCCTAAAACTATCATTACAGACAATGCTGCAAATCTGAATAGCCATTTGATGAGGGAGGTATGCGAATAATTTAAAATTACGCATCGTAATTCTACCCCTTATCAGCCCAAAGCTAATGGTGTCGTTGAAGCTGCAAACAAGAACATCAAGAAGATCCTCAGGAAAATAGTTCAGGGTTCTAGACAATGGCATGAAAAGTTTCTTTTTGCACTACTGGGATATCGCACAACCGTGCGCACATCAGTCGGGGCCACTCCCTACTTATTGGTTTATGGCACTGAAGTCGTAATACCTACAGAAGTTGAGATTCCCTCTCTTTGGATCATTGTTGAAACCGAAATCGAGGATGAGGAATGAGTCAAAACCCGGTTGGAACAATTAACTATGATTGATGAAAAGAGAATGGCCGTTTTTTATAGGTAGTTGTACCAACAAAGAATGGCCCGCACCTACAACAAGAAAGTGTGACCCAGAAAATTCAAAGTGGGGTAACTCGTTCTGAGACGTATTCTCCCGCATCATGAAGAAGCCAAAGGAAACTTTGCTCCAAATTGGAAAGGTCGGTATATTATAAGAAGAGCATTGTCGAAGGGAGCGCTGTATTTGGGGGACATCGAAGGAAATGTCGCTGAGACAGCTGTCAATGCATATGCGGTCAAAAGGTATTACGTTTGACCCTTTTTCACAAGCTTTAGTATGCTCCGATTGGGATGATGAAGGCCTTCGTTTCTTGCTATCTAAACACTATCAACCTTTTGCAAATCCTTTGAGCCGGTTCCCTTCCTTTGATTTCCCTCTTTGGAACGTGGAGGTTATTATGAAAAACAAATTAAAAATAATTAAAAAAACAAAAGAAAATAAAAAACAAAGTTCATTGAACTACGTTCAACTTGATTCCGAAAGGATATGTAAGCAGCCTCTCTCTGGGGTTCAGTCACACCAAAACAAAAATTCACATTCCCCCAAAGGTTTAAACTGGGGCAGATGTTATAATGGTTCGGCGATGGTTTCGCCTGAATAGTTCCAAAGTTGTAATTCAATCGAAATTCTTTTTACCAAAATCCTTTTCAAGTCCTTCCGATCAATCGACGAGAATGTTCAAGAATTGGAGGATATAGTTACTTGGATCTGATACAACCAAATGAGAGAGTCTTATTGGTGAAAATCGTCACGGGCACCGTAGGGCGATGGTGAGTAAAGAAACCAAAATGAGAGAGTCTTGTTGGTGAAAACTTGCAAAGAGCACTATAAGGCGATGGTGACAAGAGAAATGAGAGAGGTCAGCTGGTGAAAACCCGCAAAGGGCGCCACTGATCGAAAAGAGGATCCTCAAAGCCATTGCATCAACATACACCTGGGCAAGGTTTCTCGGTTTTGAGGCAAAAGTTGTGATGAATTTCTGAGAGTCGGACGGTTTACATAGATCAGGCATCCAGTCCTAAATTCAAGTTATGTTCATTAAAGTCCGCATGTACTCCAGATAAGTCCTTCTTTCTTTTCCTCGAAAGGGATACCTCTTGTCTAAATTCATTGTCCATTCCATTATTTGTTTTGCTTTGAATCCCTTTCGGTCTAACTCTGTTCCAAAACTAAGGTGAAAAAGGGATGGCAAGACTGATTTATAGGGCTCTCATTTGATACAAGCTAATATGTAAAAAGGCACCCAGCCTCGACAAAGGTATCAAGGCAACCCTGACTGGCCATGATGGCTGATGTTTTGAAATCGAGA